ACCCCTGCTTCATAGGACCAGTCTTGCAACAGAGGAGGAGGCACATTTGGGTCCCATCAGGTGGCTTTTGTTTCACAGAGGAGCCCCAAAAAGAGCCAATTTAGTCTGGTGGTTAAGGCAGCAGGCTAGAAAACAGGAGATGATATGAGTTCAAGTCCAGCCTTAGCCAGGAAATCCAGCTGGCCAGTCATTCTCTCTCAGTCCAACCCACTTCACAAGGTGGTGGTTGTGGAGAAAATAGGAGGAGGTGAGTGTTGGGTATGTTCACCTCCTTGAGTTATTTGTAAAAATATTTAAAAGCAGGATAGAAATTTTAAAAAAGAAAGAAAGCATCCCCACCCTTGGTGGATCTGGTTGAAAAACCAGAGATCATTGGAGAAAGGCAACTCTACCAGTACTGTAGCTTCTGGGTAGTCTTCAACTGCAGACCTATGTAGACTGTATTGCAGTAGTCCACATGGGAGATGACCAAGGCACGAGTGACTGGAGCAGGACCACCTAATCCAGGAAAGTGCAATATGCACACAAAATGGGTTTCTGCAAAGCCCCTCTTGGCTGCATTTGCCATCTGGTCCTTCAAGGGTCCAAGAGGATCCCCAGATTGTGTACCAATTCATTTGAGAGAGTGGTACCCAATCCAGATCTAACAATGAATGCTTGCCAGAGGGAAAGAATTTCCCTAAACACACAGCCACTTAGTTTCTTCCTCATCCAGAGCCTCCAGATACAGGGAAAGAGCCTTAACATCATCATCTGGTCAGCTGGGGGTTGAGATATGTAACTTTGAATTAGGTACACATTTAGCCCATGTTAATTACCTCCCCAGGGGTTGCATGTTGGGTTAGGGTGAGGGTTATGCTGCATTGAGTAGGAATGGAAGAGAATGAGGCATGCAGCTGAGCAGAAGCTTAAATCTAGGTCTCTTTGCTCTGAACACCAACAGGAACTGACCTTGGATGAAGGAGGAAAAACACTGCAAAACTAGGCCCCACTGTCTCAACACCTAAGCTGGTCCAGAAAGATATCATGACCAAGGATATTGAAGAGCACCAAGATATCAAGGAAAGCTAGAATGGACGCCCAACATCCCAGTCCCACCTGAGATCATCTACATGTGTGATCAGTGCCACCTTAGTATCTCTGAAGATTCTGAGTCATCCAGGACATGGTTGCCCCAAGGTGCTTTTTTCAAGAGAGAAATTGACTTTCTTTGGTTTTCCTTGAAGACATTTTGCTTCTCATCCAAGAAGCTGCTTCAGTTCACAACTGAAGAAAAACAAAGTCCAGTTGCCTCTTGAAAAAGTATTTTGGGACTACCACAGTGGTGGGATTCAAAAAATGTTACTATTGGTTCTGTGGGCGTAGCTTGGTGGGCATGACATGGCTTGGTGGGCGTGGCGGTGGGCATGGCAGGGGAAAGATAATGCAAAATCTCCATTCCCACCCCATTCCAGGGGAAGGTTACTGTAAAATCCCCATTTCCTACCCACCCCACTAACCTGTTTTCCAGCTCCGTTCTCCTGTGCAGGGCAACCAAAGAAGAGCCAGCCAATCAGCTGGGACTCAGGGGGCAGAGAATAGATGGGGGCGGGGCCAGTCAGAAGTGGTATTTGCCGGTTCTCCGAACTACTCAAAATTTCTGCTACCGGTTCTCCAGAACTGATCAGAACCTCTGGACAGCCATCTTAGTACTATATCCTAACCTGATTGAAAGCACATTCTATCTCAACTTTCCCTAAAAAATAGAAGGGAAAGTGCTCTTTTTCAACTTGGATGAAAACTATCCAGCTTTATTGAATCCAATGAGGGTTTCTACAGGAGGGGGACTATAGAAAGTAAGGTACATGACTTTGATGGAAATATCCAAGAACTGTTACTTACACAAAAGAGACTGAAAATGTGTTTAATCTCTGAGAATTTAATAGTTGGAAGCACCTCAGACAGGCACCACCCTTGGTTCTCTGTGGTATAAGAAGTGGGAAGAGCTATAGCATAATGAGACTTGCAAAATTCTATTGTTATACTCCCTCTTAATAAAGGTAGTTCTTCTCTTCCTATGAAGTTGATTTCCTGGGCTGGTCTACCTAGTGGAGCTAACTTTAATCTTGCAGGACTCTTAAATAAGAGGCTTAAGATCTCACCTTTCTCTGTAGAAATGGCACCCAATTTCAGGGCACCTCACTATCCCACTGAGCATCTTGCTAAGTGCAATTGCAACACAACAAATAAGTAACTAACTTGCAAAATGCCATGATGCAACTACCACAACAGTTGGGAGAGAATTCGCCTCAATCAGCAACAGCAAAACTGCCAGCCACACAGCTGCCAGCATTTCTGAGTTCTCATGGGAGTTTATCAGAGGAGATTCAGAGGAGACCAAGACCAACTCCTGATCTTCATGACTCAGTATGAACAGTTTATGGTGGGTTGGCCAGCAGAGTTTCTCCCAGATCACACTGATCACACTAAAGTGATTTTTGTGCTCAGTTTGCTGAAAGAAGTGGTAGCCAAAGGAGCCATATCTGTCATTGAGGGCAATCACCCACACGCTGGACAGTTATCAAAATGTCATGCAAAGATTTAGACATTTCTTTCAAAATATCATGAAACGAGTGACCATCAACCATGAAATCCGCAGTGTGGGGTACAGGTGATTATAACAGTTTTTAAATTATTTCCAAATATGTGGGATAGAATGATTTGGCTCTAACTCAGGGGTCCCCAACCACCGGTCCGCGGACTGGTACCGGTCCGTGGAACAAGTCCTAGCGGGCCGCTGGTTTGCTGGGCGCCGCCATCTTGTTTTGATGAAAAAGTGCTTCCGGTGAGCTTTTCCGGGTAGAAAGCTCACCGGAAGCACTTTTTCATCAAAACAAGATGGCGGCGCCCAGCTGATGTCGGTACCGGGCCGCGCCATAAAAAAGGTTGGGGATACCGGGCCGTGGCATAAAAAAGGTTGGGGATCACTGCTCTAACTGACCAATTTAGAGAAGGGCTTGCCGACAAACTGAGAGATGAACTGGTGAGACAGGGCACCTCAGATACTTTTGAAGAGCTTTTATAATTGATGGCTGACTGGAAGAGTTGATGCAGGGGAGAACTGGCAAGGTTTTGCATTGTCTCTTGTGTCCCCTCTCTCAGTGACCTCTTGGGAATCTTGTGTAATCCATGTAAAGTGGATTAATTGAAAGATTGCTATCCTCAGGAGAGAAATAAAGAAGAAGGGAATCAGGATTATGCTTTTACTGTGATACTTTCAGGTATATGTAGTCAGATCCTGCACAGCTAAAGATCGACAGGTCATATATTTCAGGAGTCACCAACCTTTTGGACCTCAGGGATCGCCAAACTCATAATTTTAAATCCAAAAAAAT